AGCGCCCTCACGACACGTTTCTTCCAGGACCTCGACACCTTTTACAGAAAACCGAAATGCAGTAAAAGGAGCGTACCCCCGAGGAACACTGTACACGTAAAAATAAGGAGAGCCTCGGGCCCCTCGTGCCGGGTGGGTGCAGGGAAGGGAGGGAGTTGAGGTGCACGCCGCGCGCGCCAGGGGGCAGGGGGGGGGGGGGAGGGGGGGGGGCGCACCGAGAGGGCGACCACGAAAGTGGCGAGCCGGTTCGCGGACGGGTCGGCCCGGTTGTAGACGCTGATCGAACGTGCGCGATGCGCAGCGCTACGTACCGATCTCGGCGTCTGGTCTGCCGCACTGCGCGTTCGCGAGAGACTGTGTCAAGCCAAGCGCGCCGTGTCTCTCTCTGCTGACGCGACCATGGACGCGCGACACCGGTCACCGCACACAATTGTTCCAAAAGCGGGTACCTTGTCGTTGATGTCGGCGAAAGGTCCTTTCAAGCCACTTCAAGGCTAGAGCTGTTTAACATTAACTTTGGGCCTAACAGTTGCGCTATTGTTGGCTGAAATCCTTAACGTTGTTTCAAGTGTTCACCCCAGCCCATGCTGTTACTGTTTGTTACTGTTGTTACTGTTGTTCAGCGGCCAGCAAGCAGAACGCAAAAAACCCGGGTAAAACCCGAAAATACCTGGGATTTCCCGGGTATTTTCGGGACTACCCGCACTGGACGCTGGAGATCGTCGTGGGTCACTGCCAGGCCTTCCTTATTGTTGTTCAGCCGGCCTAACGTTAGCTACTGTTGTTGGGGAGCCCCACTGTTGTTCTGTTGTTACTGTTAACACACTAGCAACACTGTTCAGCTCCCAACGTTAAACAGCTCTCTATTCAAGGCCCACAAGACACCCCCCCCCCTGTCCTCACACACACACAAGACACATCTTCATACCGCGGACAACGGTAATCCCCCCCCCCCCCCCCCCTCCCTCGACACACTAGTCGTTGGTCATGGATACGAGTGCGGCTCCTCGTCTGATCCAATGGCTCGGTTCTAGACGGATCCGCTCCTGACAGTCGCACGCACCGCCCTGTGGCGCGTGCGACTGTCTTTGTTTGAAGTTAAAAGTCGAATCAGGGCGCCGTCGGCGTTGTCCCTGGATTTCCTCTCACGGACCGCCCGTCCGGCACCGCTCCGGGACGCACGCCGGCGAAGCACCATCAAGCTGCTATACGGCCCCGGCATCGCCTTCCCAGGCTTAGCTAGACTGAGAGATGTTGTGCACATGGTCAGCCTCTACAATATATACACTGACACTGAACCTCCCAGAGCTCGTCCCGGTCCGTCACGGCCATCCTCGTCCTCCGGCGCGGGCCCCCGGCCGCGGCGCGGTGCGGCGGCGTCACAAATCCGACCACAGAGCACCGGGACGCGGTCGGGCGATCTGAGGCCCAACTAGGCGTATGCATTGCCCATTCAGGGCTATCACCTGTACCTATCAACAGGCGCCTGCGGCGCCGTGCTCAGGAGCTGCTGCTCCAACCTGTTCACACTTTCGTACGGCACTACGCTATTGCGCGCCATTCCTCCAGCAGAGTAGCAGTGCACACGGAGTGCAATCGGCCGCAGCGGCGTGCGTCGAATGACGTCGGCACCCCCTCTGCCGTCAGCCTGCCCTGACCGCACGGGCACATGCTCGCGCAAGATGCAAGGCAAGCGCGGAGCGTTTGTCGGGAGAGACATCGTTCCATGCTGGATTGCGGACATGGATTTCGAGGCGCCCCGTCCCGTCGTGGACGCGGTGGTGGCGCGGGCAAAGCACGGCATCTACGGATATACGGACGCGTCTGCGGAGCTTGAGGACTTGACCCTTCGAAGGCTCAAGACGCTCTACGGCAGCACCGAGACGCCCGATCGCTCATGGCTGCGCTGGCTCCCCGGGCTGCTGCCGGGCTTGCACCATGCCGTGCGCGCAGCCTGCCAGTCCCGCGAGGACCGCGTCGTCTTGCTCACGCCGCTGTACCCGCCGTTCCTCGCTGCCGTCGAGCGCAACGGCGCCACCCTTGTTCAGATCCCGCTCATCGACTCAGGCGCATCGTCTATCGAGATTCGGTTCGAT